AGTTCTGTTTGTGAAACACTATGGTATTTGTAGCATATAGTTCAAAGTCAAGCTCAAAAGGTCATTGACCTTGGTGTACGTCATTTGTAAGAGCTTAGTGTAGAAAGCATACCAAATATAAAGTCTCTATCTCTCATGGTTCAAAAGTTATGGCGTAGGTTCAAGGAGACAACAGACAGACAAACACATAAACAGACAAACAGGCGGGACAAAAACAGTATATGCCGCGGATCTATCGAAAGTTATTCCTTGCATACATTATAGATGGACTCTATATGATTGGGAGGGAATAGTCTTTCATTAACATTTTATTACCTGATTATACACTTTGCAATTACTGAAAATGATAAGTAAGGAAAACCTGTATGTGTATAAAGTTTACTTGTAAAACATGTGGTCATAATTGTAATGTCTGCCAATCACAACGTAAAATTTTCATTGAACTGAATATATTGTATACCGGTAGGTTATTCATTTCTGAAAATGTAACTGGAGGATATACTAATATGATGTTTTTTTTTCAAATTGGATAAATTTTATGCAAATTACAATATGAATTTGTTTGGTGCAATTTTTGTTTCTTCAAATTCCTCACGACATATAATATGCTCTATTTTCTTTTATGTTCTAGACTAGGTACATGTATAATATACTATAAAACAGGCATTGGGCTTCATGAACAGGCCCCATGATCATAAACTGAGAACATACTTAAGTCAAAATTTTTAATCTGCATAACTTAAGTTTTATTCATTATATGTTCTTAAAATTTTGCAGTTATGAATAATATTTAAATTCCAACAAATGGTGCAAATTTAGTTTTATTTTCAATTTTTTTTTTTTTTCAAAAGTTATACTGATTTGAAATTTTGACTTGTTAAGTCTATTCTCAGTTTATGGTCATGGGCCTGTGTAGTGGTGTTAAAATTTATACCATCATATTTTAATTTTAAAAAAAAAGTATAATATAATTTGTATATATTACAAGACGGATTTTGAAACGAGGAAAAAATTATCATAGAGAAATTCATTTTTGTAGTGCAGCGGTTCATATTAATGGAATGCGCTTAACATACCAAAATTCAGCAAAAAGGTAGTGAAATCTCATACGAAATTCCGGACCTCTTATTCATATGTGCATAGAGGTCAAAGATCTAATGGTTTACAGTCCGGCAAAGGAGTAAATTAACTAGTAATATCATTGATAACTGCCGAGGGCACTCGAATGGTGTTTGCGGAGGATTATTTTTCTTTTATCTTTTGGTGGAAAAAGCGCCGAACTGATGGCGGACGGTGTTTCTGTACAAGAACTCAGACTCCATTTAATTTATACCGTCTAGCACGAGTATGAAAATCAGCAAAAAATCTCTATGCAAATATTTGATATAAATTGCTATTAGAAAGAATATATTTAATACATCAGTAGCGAATAATCTTCAAATACAGTTCGCTCTTTTTAGTTTGTTTTCGCACTCTTCTGTGCGAGATTTCGTACATTTCTTGATAACTTAAAAAAGGACCAAATGAAAGTTATACGACATATAGAGGATTAGCACCGCCATTAATTATAAACCCATTAGATTGTCTATCAACGTGCACGGAAGCATTATCTGGTAAAGAACAGCAGGCAAGCAGTTTATTTTAGCTAAAGAGAAAAACCAGATACGGGGGTTCTTTTGTAATATTATATGACACTTAAAGAATAGAAATAAAGTACATGTGATAGCTAAATTTGTTTTTAAAGGGTTAATACTCGTATATACACGAATTTTCAATAACATCGAGAAACATAAAATGTTGTAATCACATATTCATCTGATTAATTTGATTATTCATTTCAGGCATTCATTTTTTGTATCCATATTTTTCTTTTTACAAAAATACTGCATTTTTCAATATAAGAAAAGTTGCATTTGATACTTTGCATCATTTTAAAGTAAAATTTTGTCTATATTTTTTCGTATCGATATCTTTTCTGTAATCTTGTTTGTGAAATATATCAATAAGCATGGTTATTCTTTGTTAGCATGTTGAAATTCGATACACGTATTTGAATATTTTTCTTCTGTTCATGCAATTGTTATTTTTTAAAAAAAGAAAGTATTTTTATTTTTAATTTTTCTTTCAAACAACGTGTAATTTTGTGAATGATACAGACCCTCTACTATAATGTTAAACTATAATCAACAGTTTTGAGTAATACACAAATTCATTTGGGACTACAGAACAAAAGCATTCAAATTATTTTTTTACCAGTTCCAACAAAAAGATTAAATTTTTGAAAAAGGCTAGGATAAAGTATTAAACAATATTATCGTGAATTAGTATTTTGCGTCATTTTATTCCCGAAGCGTCCAGTGTGTCACCTGTTTCTAAACATAGAGAGGACCATGACATTAATGGCGACTCGTTTAAGAGGGGATGAAGAAAAAGAGATCATTGTGACGAGAAGTTTGAATGACTAAATGCTGATCAATGTGTAATTGACTACCAGGCAAGCAGATATAGCCGCCATTTGCTCTTTGTCGTCAAGCGCTTAACTGAAGAAGATTAAACACCCAGTTGAATTCTACTTGACTAATGAGGCAGACGTTTGAAGCACATTGAAGAGTGGACAATGAGTAGCCATGAATACCGAGGGTGCTGAGATTTCTATGTTTTTCTAATCAGCCATATAATTGCTCAATTTTGGGGAACATTTCGATAATTCATTGAACCATAAATCTAGTTTAGGAATAATTATGTTTGCCGTATTCATTTTGTTATACAATCATGATGTTTATTTTTCTCCTGAATTTGAAGAAGAGAACATTCTGTTTCCCTGTGATTGGAAAATGGTCAGCCTTGTCACCTGCTTTAGATGCCAAAACTATGACAATTTATCACAAGACAATGAGTAGTTTCAACGTCATAAATATGCATGTCTGATTCTTTGCTGATCACAATTTCGTGCGATATGTTACTAGCTGTTTTTCAGGCGTCTTCATAATTTTAAGTCTCCATGCAGTTCGTTTAAAATGGATACCAATATTTTATTTTCAGAATATTTTTCTTCCGTTTTAAAATATACGTTCCTTCGGAAATTTCAAAATAAGACTTGAATTAGAGCGAATCCTTTGGGGAAATGTAGGTAAAATAGACCTGTACTACATGAATTGTATAAATGAGGTGTAGTAATATGAAATAAAAGAGATCATTATGCAGTGACAAATAAATATCAGAGTGTTCTTGGTTTTTGCTAATAAAAAATCAACATTGCAGCCCCGTACAAAAATTCGTTTTTCTTGTATTAAATTTTTTTTTGAGGGGGGGGGGATCCAATTTTTGAGGACACAGGTCCGATTACTGTTCAGTTGAACGAGTTTACGGAATAAATTTTTCATGCTTGAAGAATTAAAAGAAAAGAACGAATAAGTACAAAAGAATTTGGATTGAGCTTCTGTTCCCTTGAATTTTAGTATGATTTTTAAATTTCTCGACAAATGAAGCGAAACATTATAAATATTGTGTCAAAAGTATATTACCACAGCAATTAGCTACAGAACTCTAGCTCTCCGAAAAAAAATATATATGTGTGTGTATTTTGACAGACTAGAGAGCTACATGTACAGTGCCACCCATTGAAAAAAATAAAACTTTATAATTATTGTGAACAAAAAGTTGTGTTGGGTTTTAGATGAATCCTCCAAATTATAACTGTAATTGCATAAGAGCTAGATTTAAAAAATTCCTTACTAGGAAGTTACTCCTCTTTCAAATATTCTCATAATTAACATCTGCACAAAGCTTATTGGACCAAATTATACAAGTATTGCAAACAAAAATGGCAGTATAAATAGGTGGAATTTTCGATGGCCTAAATTTCTGGGTTATTAATTATATTTAAAAAAGTGTTGTGTTTGTTTTTTTCGGAAACAGTGAAAGAAATTATTAGGAACACACGGTTATTTATATTTTGAGATCATGACAGTTTTAAAATATGGAAAAATAATAGAAAAATAGCATTTTTGTGCGTAATAAATACTGGCAGCATACTGTTTTTTTTTTTTTCAATGGGTGGCACTGTAGCTCTCGGGTCTGTCAATATATATTTTTCTAATTTTGTAAAGTATGAAAATGATTCAATTTTGCTGACTTTTTGAGCTTCGATTTACTTATAGAGAATGTCATATACATGGAGCCAGTTTTTTGTTTAAAGTTGTAATATCTTTACATTTTTTTAAATATTTTTTTCTAGGTTTATTTGTTTTTCATTTTATTATTTATTTATTTATTAATATATTTTTTGTTTATGCATGTGAACATTTTATAGAACACATCCCATTTTATATGAGAAATAATACACTTTTCTTATATTGCTGGCCTAATACTTAAAGATAACGGGGCATTGTTACATATATACTTATCAAATTAGATAAGGCATGTAAGCTTCGGTCAAGAATCTAAAGATAATGTGTTCCAAAGAACAGAATCGGACCCATCTTGGAATTTCGATTTGTTCTGTGTTTCTTTTTCATTTCTGGAAAATATTTATTTTAATATTTCTTAATTCTGTTTCATTTTATTCTTTAAAATACTATATATCTATTTCTCCAATTACAAATTTAGACGATCTGTGTGTAATATTTTCAAAGCATCTTCATCCAATATAATTTTTTTCCTTCGAATTTGTTTAATTAAATTAACAATAGTTAAATTGACTTAAACGCAACTGTAATTTTGTATTGTAAAAACGCTATCTTTTATTTTGATAATAATGGAATTACACTTCAGGTTGTAATAAATCCCGTGCTAAAAATCAATCCGAGGGTCACCAATCAAACAAAAGATCCACAATGATTGACATCTGAAGGTGTTATCACACGCCACGTTGGGCGGAACCTAATATGCAAATCACAACGTAGATATCCAGTTTCCTCCTTATATTTGCATACGTTATAAAGTAAATTTTATCTCTCATTCACAAGACTTTTAAAAAACACTCGTCAAAGAATCACACCGAAAGAGAAAGGGAAAAAATACGAAACACCTCGAATATTCCAAGATTCATTCAAAAATTGGACACAGAAAAAATATTTTTCCCCCATATGTAAGATGGTGACGGTTTGAAGCATCTAAAGGAACTACGAGAGATTGGAAGGGCCCTGAGACGAAATATAAACTCTTCTGCGTGCTTAATCGCGAGTCTGTGACACGATTTGCGGGAGTTTCATTTACACTTCTTCAGGAGCTAAAAGCACGTTCCTATGTGTGTATTCCTGGGTTTGAACAATAACTTCACGGTTTGAGCAATACCAATAGACTCTTAACTGTGCGTGATTTTTCCGTTTAATCCGTAAGCCGGTAATTTTGGGTTTCAACTTTTGACTTGTTTCTCTGGGAACCAATACCACAATCATGACGTAAAATTAATTTCAAGGATTTCCTCTGTCACGTGGTTTTCTGCAGCAATGCATCCCTTTTTCGGTAAGATTTAAGTTGGAAATCTTTTTAAAATCTTCCTTTACTTTGCAATGTATTGATATTATCTGAAAATAAATTTTCTTTACATAGTAAATATTTAATCAATCCCTGTATTCAAATATGAACTAAAACCCGAACTCTGAGACGTTGATGAGGCATTGCAGTGTGGCCCAATTAATGACATTTCACGAGGAAGTGTCTAAGAATTTCTCATCTCCTAGAAAGCTTTGAATTAAAGAAAATTATATTTCATTTTTTTTTTAAATATTATTTTTGTTTCACTGTTTTCCAAATTTCTTAAATAATTGTAAATTGTAAAATTATGAATATTATGTTATTTCAAATTATTTCTTTTACATAGATTAAAATAGCTATAGGATAATAATTGTATATGTCTGTTTAAAGATTAATGCAATTATATTTTGATTCATTTTCTTTTAATTTTTAAATATTCACCAATTCACAACTAAAAAGTACAATCCCCCTTTTCCCTCTCTCTCTCTCTCTCTAATTTTTTTCTATTAAAAAAAATTCGGCTACAGTTTTCTGTAAAACTTTCCACTTGAAGAGACACATTTCCCCCTATATATACATTGTACATCTAAAATCCACACACACCTGGGCTATGAGGGACCGATACACGTGATTTGGTCCATTCGTTAAAGTGGGAAAAAATTGGCATACAAAGCATTTAATTATTCTATCACAGGGAAAACCAAGATTCAATCTATCCTGTCTTTTCCATTAAAGAAATTTCTTGTAAGTTTTTCTCTTGTAGAAAATTGTATGGTCAACTTGTCATTTTAGTCGGATGCAGGGCTACGAGTTTTATTAAGCAATTTTATAGATTTTTCTAAGTTCATTTTTTTTAAACATGCAGCACATGAGATGATTTTCAATTTAATACTATATAGCACTGTAATATACTCCATCTAACAGAGAAATTAGTTGATTAATGATACCGGTACATATATTGGATAACTATGGGGAAAATAATTGAAAATCGTCTTAATTCAAACTTAAAAAAAAATGATTAATTTTTTTTTTACCCTGCCTTCTTATTATAAATGTAAAATTCTAAAGAAAAAACTAAATTTTATTTGTAAATTTGCGTTGACTCTTCAATTAAGAATGAATAATTTTTGCAGGAAAAAAATCATGTACAGTAACAAAGAAAACTGACGCGTTTAACTATTATTCATTTTTGTGCTGGAAAAGGAGCACTATCAAAATTGCTTCTTAATAGGGAAATAATAAATCACAAGAAATTCCCTTCCAATTAAACTCTTCATAAATAAACTCCATTTATTTATATAAAGAGTATAGAGAATCTCTTAACCCGTTAAACTTCACAAGAACCCTTATCAGTCGGTGCTTGTGTTCGAAATCATCTACACATAGTTATCGTGTTATAATTTTGGACTCTTAGATAAAGAGGGGTGAAACTTATTGTAGAATTATTAACCCTAGTGTATAGGTCACCTCAATAAACGATAACCTAACATAAATACTGCTCGGAGACCAATCTTATTAAAACCGGCTTTTTCTGATCCGCGCGAAAACCCCGTCAGGTTTCCGGAATTCGGTTTCCTCTTTCAAGAAACGATGAAAAATTAATTACTAATAAAATGATGGACCCTAACTCTTCCTCTCATTTATCAAGCGATCTTTACTTCAATCCCAATATTTCACGCGCATTATTGAAGCGAATTAGTGTTTATTTATGCATGTAGCGACGCACGTGCATCGGGGAATTTACTGATAACGTTCTGTGTATTAAGTGTCTGTACTTAAAACAAAGCGTGTCACTTGTTCATTATCGTACCTTGATATTTAATTCATGATTGTATATTCACAAGCTGAAAGACAGATCTAATTTTATACATTTTAAGAATTCCCCTCTCTTTAGAGAAATTGTATCTAAAATCAATAAAATGGTGGTATATTTCAAAGAAAATTTATAACTTTAATTTTTGAAAGAATTTCGTGTTTTTTTTTTCTTTGAATGGGACAGTACATATAAGAAATAAATCCTGCATTGTTAGTCTGTCTATACGATTTTATGTACTTGTAAAATTAGCCGAAAATTGTTGTTATTTTTTTTAAATGTTATAAACTCTCAAAGTAGAAAAACAGACAGAGATTCCGAAAATAAAAAGACTACGAATGATAAATATTAAAAAAAATGTGACAAGTCGTACAGGGGTTATCTGCGGTCACGAATGAGTTGAAGAATGACTGATACAAGATATTTGAAGAGCCACTCCAAAGATCACTTGAAAAGAAGGGGGACCTAGCGATCGAGGAAACTGCAGTCCAGTGTTTGTAATGATATTCTAAATGTATTAGAAATAAATAACAAAGAAATTCAAACCCACCAACCATTTCCTGTTCCCACTCTCCTTACACTAAAACACACGCCTTTTTTAAAAAAAATCTTTTTAAAATCAAACATTTTATAATAAACCAAATTTAGTTATGGAATAAATTACAAGGTAGATACAATTATAAGGGATTTCTAAATTCACCAAAGTATATATTTATTTATAAATTGAAATATTTCAAAATGCACTCTCAGTATAGGCCTATAAACTTTGATTATTGGATAACAGGGGTAATGAGTATGATGCTACAGTTTTAACATGGCAGTATTAATATTTTTGAAGTAAAACACATAATCTAGATAGAAATTATGAAGATGCTTCAACGCGTTTGGAGGAGAGGGGGGCATATGGACAAACAATTTCCTCTTTCAATTTTATTTCCCTCATATATTGAGTTAGAGCGTTTAAATTGACGACAAGTTTATGTATATAAAACTTATTAAAACTCTCCGAAAATGTGTAAACTACCAAACTCTAAGGTAGATAATCTGGTGATTAAATAACAATACCCGAGATCTTAGGAGCGAAAATAACCAACCTTTGTGGACATACTGATAATAGCTTTGTCAACGACTTCAAACGCTCCGGCTACTTGAAAGCGAAAATTGATGCATCCGATAGGTCTATTGTTTAGATAAATTTTTACCAGTAAACTGATAGAAATTGAGCTCTCTAGAGATGTTCGGCAACTCATTTGACACTCGGAGCAATAGAGGGATTATTTCTTAAATCAATTTTTTGTCTGGGGCGAGATAAAGAGAGCGAGGGGGTTATTTATTGATATGTAAATATAGCCGTGATTGAAGGTTAGGGGTTAGCGTGTACAGAGGTCTCGGTTAGATGTATATTGGAGAAGTTCAGTGAATTAAAAAGTGTAATTACTTCGACATATATCATGTTTGTTTGTTTAATTTGCCATTTAAATGAATTCGTTTATTTTCTTTTTTATATGAATTGTATACCTCAGCTAGGTTTAAGATGAACGAGAAAGCGAGATGATGAACGAATAAGGTTCACGTGAAGTATTACGACTTTGTTGTAAACATGTAGCTAAAATGATATGAAACATACTTAAATAGTTTTGTATGAAATAATTAAGACTTTCAAGAAATAAGTCGTTAGTTTACTAACAATGTATACATGAAAACATACTAAATTTAAGTTTTTGTTAAAATATTGTTTAAAAAATTCTTTGTGCATGTTTTGTTTAGTATTTCAAAATTTATTCCGGACCAATCCTCGAAATGTTGTTCTCTTTATAATATATATCAAAATGGACTCGCATTCTTCCTTCGACTCGTAGAAGGGACCTTTCTTGAAATCTTTGCACCCCTATCCTTTTTTCTATCGTATTGTCAAATTCAGCCAGATTTTTAAGAAATGAATCAGATATACATGTAGATCTTTAATTTTATATTTTAAAAATTTCGACTCATAATAAGGTTTGCTCAATATGTTATTTTTAACATACAAAGTTTTTTTTAAATATATATATATATATAAGTTCTAGAGAGAAAAAAAAGAAAAACAATTGCAAATGTAAAAAAAAAAAGTTCTATTTAAGTCTCACTAAAGTTATAAACCTGCTTATATTACCATGTATATTTTTTTCCTCTAAAACTAAATTGACCATTTAAAAAATCCAATCCCTTGAGAGTTTGTAATTTATTTACATCATTTGTACTTAATAATCAACTTTGTTTTTCGTCTTAAATTCGATTATTGAAAGAAAAGAGTGTTGAAAATAGTTGTATCTTTATTTAATAACATTTATGGGGAAATAATAATACGATCCGAGGATTTTTATTTATTTATTGCTATTGATCTAGCTGTAACGAATTTATATTTCTTAATTTTATTTACATCTGACTTTATTGTCATGTATTAAATGTAAATTTATATGTATATGGTAATTATGGTTGGATTAAGACAGATACTTATGTTGAATTTGTACATCTCTCTACGTAACTGAACTGCGCATGATCATGACATAAATTGTGCAAGTTATTTAATGAAACAGGATTCCCGTATTGATTTTAAAAAACACATACTTTGTAGTTTTTCAAATGTTTTCTTTACAGTAAATATATTGTCAATATGGATCTTTATTTACAGTTGCCATGATATGAAGTGCAAATCCAAGACGGCGGCCCGAACAAGACGCGAGAAAGAAAACGCTGAGTTCTATGAACTGGCGAAGTTACTTCCCCTGCCGTCCGCCATAACCAGTCAGCTGGACAAGGCCTCCATTATACGGCTATGTACCAGTTATCTCAAAATGAGGACCGTCTTTCCCGACGGTAAGCTTTAATATTTTGTCATACCTGTTGTATAAGAAAACATGTAATAATACTACACCTTTCCAAAGCAAATAAACAAATAAACATAAAACAAACAATAACCAATAAAACCAAAGTACAAAAGCAGACAATGATTCACCATGTTCGGAAATCCTTCAAAATTTTATAGTTCAAATTAAAATGAAAAAAAGAGATAATAAAATAAAATGTAAATCCAACTTGGTTCGAATCCCACTGAAGGATCTGGATTCCTACGTATTGGACCGTAAAAACTTAGGCACTGTGTCGCAGTAGGCAATGGCACAAAAAGACCCCTTCTATGGCCCTGATTGCCGAGTATAGGACAAATTGCGGCAAGAGTTGGCGTTTTTTTTTTTTTTTGAAAATTTCTCGAGAGGGACTGAAATACAAAAAAAAAAACAAACAAACAAAACACATCTTCGCTAGCCAAGTGTTTCCGATCCAATACCTACTCTACAACATTGTAGAGTATGTATCGGATCGGAAACCCTTGGCTAGCGAAGATGACAAAAACAAGAATCTGCTCTTTTTCAAGTACATCTGTAATTTAATTTCAATAATTTAGAAAATTTTATATTACAATTCTTTTTTTTTCAAAATCATGACGTACGTGTAAGTTTGAATATTTAATTTATTTAGATTTTTAAAGTAGGTAACAATTAAAATTGATCAGAAATAAACGTTATTATTGACCTCACGCAACAGATTAGTTAATAGGAGGAAAAGTGAAGCTATTTGCTTTGGGATCCATATTGAATGCAGCCTTGATTTACAGATATGTCTTTGCAAGGGGATGCTCCGCTTCTTTGTGTTCTCATTACAATTCTTCTAGTAGGCACTAGGTCTCACGAAACTAGTCTTCATAAGTTGCAGAACAGAACAGTGATCTAACACCAACACCACATGTTTATGCTTTATTTGAAGTCTGTCTTGCTGAAATCTGAAGCTCCATCCTGAAATTCATTTTAGGGGAACTGAACGGATACGTCACGTAAAAAAATGTTTTCAAGCGAATTGATCTCCATTCAAACTTAAAATGAATTTATTAAGTAATTGATAAAAAAAAGTTGCACCACCCACCAATGCAGTTTAGATTCAATTGATTATATTTTATTTTACTTATACCAATCATTATGAAATTCTCTTTACACAATTGAAATTCTACATTCATTCTAATGAGCACAGCATACAAACATACATGTATACAATCTTAAGACTGGCATAAACGTACAAATGACATTGACTTCTGTTATGTCTATTCCCAAAAATCATCGCCTAATTGCCAGCACAGCTATAACATGCAAAAAGGCGATAAAGCATGCGCTACGCGGATTGATCAGATTTCAGAAATAGATTTCTATTTCAGAATATTTGGACGTCAGAAATGCCTACTGCATAATATTATTCAGATTCGCACTATATTGACACCAGTATAGAGTAATATTTGACCATCAGAACAGAATTTTATTCACTCAACCTGATAAAAATAGCAGAGGACATGTAGGTCTATTCAGTTTGGTCATCAAGGATTCCTTATATAAACCGAGCGAGTTACTATTAAGAACGTGGTCATGTGAAGGTAACGTTGTTACAGATTTATAAACGTTTTCCCATTTAAGGCATTTTGTAGACTAAAAATAATGAATTGAATGCTACCCTCCCAATCTATTGTTTTGATGCTGGATGCTTTGTCAGACGGTTTTTGTGTGTTTAGTGTGCCCCGGCATCTGCTTATCAACTGAAGCTGTGAACAGCCACGTCGCCCTACAGGTGTGCTTTTTCGGACATTAGCGTGATCCCAAGATAAGGTTTAACATACGGACAATGTCACATCAAGACAAATGGACACGGAACCTTAACCTGACCTTATATATATATATATTATACAATATCATCAGTGTAGATATTCTAAATATTTTAAATTGCACTTCTACTTTTTAATGCATCACTCTAATCGGAAACATTCTATACTTGCATGTATAAAGATTACCTACAATACATGCTAGCCTCCTTAAGATATGTTCTAAATTAAAATAAGGCTACATGTACATGTGTATCTAGACTTTCAGATAAACTGTGTTCTTGATGTTTTACCAAAGAAAAGTCCTGACACGACTCTCTGCATCAACAACATGAAATACGAACAGATTTATTAGACAAAATAAAACTTCATCTGTAATAAAGAAATGAAAGACATTGAAAGAGCTTATATATGAATTTTTTTGAGGGATTAAAAATTTGCAGCATTAAAAAATATTTGTATTGTTAAAGTTGAATACAAATATATATTCTTTCTTAAAATCAAACGGATTCTTAAGGCCGGCGTTGCCCCCTTTTCCCTCTTAACTTTGCACTCATTCCCCTTTTTTCTGTCTTGGTGATCTTATTTGGCAAAACTTGTGATCAGTCCGATTGACTGTTATTCAGAAATATATATACATGTAGGTTTAAATGCATGAATGAGAGAATTGCAAGGAAACACTTGCGACACATACATGTAATACATGTCTACAATGTACATGTACCTTTGTTTACATGTAGTCACAGGTACCATGATTGACAAATATGTTATATGTTTTTTCTTCTTTATTTTCTAAAAATAATTTTGCAAAACATTTTTGGAAGGGTATGAAAATTGCAAGCAGTTGAATCCCATTGATACCTACACATGTAGCAAACGAAGCATTCAACAGAAGATTTTTTTTACAATGAATTTAAATTCTAATTCTAGTTTACGATGGCAAGGAACGGTGCGGTCATACTGTGCCTATAAAAGGATTGACCAAATGGTAGCCCCGCCTCGAAGTTTTTCTTGTAATTTAAGATCTGAAGATAATTCATCGAGGACTATCTGTCGGCGAGTAAAAATGTGGACTCTTGCTTGCTACTATTGACGTGCCAATTCAATAACGAGCAATAAGTGTTAAGGATTATAGCGGCCCTGTTGTCTTTTTTATTGACATAAGCGGTCTCGACATTTTCCAATAAAGATAGCCTCGCGAACACCTGTGCGGAGATTCCGTACCCGACGTTCTTAAAATGTAAATTAACTTATCTTTCAAACGTTTGTCACAGAAAATAACTGACATTTCATGAATTCTTTATTTATGACAATATGAGTCTTCGGTTCTCCTCAAGGTTTCTTAATTAGGATATTTAGTCACACGTATATATAAAGTATACTCAATATTCAGCATATATTAACGGAAAAATAAAATTGTAAAGGATGAAAAAAAATATTAATAATAAATATATGTTTGGACTTTAAAAATATAAAAAACATATTTGAATCATCATTCATTCAATACCGGTAGAGCGCTAGAGTCCCAATCCATATTTGTTATATTGGTAGAAAAGGATGTAAAGATGTTGGCACTAATTAGTCAAAGATTTTAACATTGTTTAATTGTCTTCTACTTGAAATAATAAACAACACGATCATCGACCCTTGAGGTAATTTTTAAAACAAAAGAAAACACACATTTGCATAGTTATCAACTTTTGGCGACAAAATTAGAATTTTTATCGCCAATCTCATTATAAGCATAGTTTTCGTTCATTCTTATACTCGGGTGAAATTTGTTCCAAGCCATTGTAAATAAATTGGTATGGTCCCGGGGTACTAAGTTTAACCCCTCCCATAAATCTCTCACAATTTGTTAAGGTTGGGAACCCTATTCCTTTGAAGACCTGGGAATTCACAGGGTCTAAAAGTGCAACATAGAAGAAATGTGCCCCTTTGAATTGACCCCAAATAATAATTTTTCAGAAATCAAAAGTTGGGCACTAAATTAAATGATAGCGTGTGTACATTTCTTATCAGCGGCTTGAATATCAAGAGACAAGAGACTTTGTTCTGCAATTCAGATGCACGTGTGCATACTCCTGATATATAATGTACATGTGAATAAGGACTTTCATTCATTTTTTTTTTCAAGGAAAATGTAAACTATGGTTTTATACGCCATAAGCTAAAAGTGTCCAAAATGAAAAATTTAGAGCATAAACAACAATAAGCTGGTGAAAATTTAACTATACTAGTTTTTGTGTGCACCATGGAAGAAAAATAAAGCACGGAAAAAGTTACAAATTTCTAATCTGTTTCATAGGGTTCAGTCACAGTGTTTATATCTTTGATAATTTTAAAATAATTAAATTATTTTTTATAAATGATTAAAGAAAAATATGTACTATAGACAGGTCTCTGACAGCGTAAGGAATAAGAAGGTATATATTTTTATTTAACTTTTTTGAAAATGAATTTTTATGCGCAGTTTAAATTGCCTTCCGTCAGCTATACCTTACATATGCAGTACGTTGCACTCTTATTCAGAAATCATTAAATATAAACCCCAATTCAGAAGTGGATATCCAAAACACAAAAGCTTAAAGAGGGCAATAAAATATTCGTCTTGTTTGTAAATCCAATGTCAGCAATATTATTAATAACCCAAATCCAATGGGATTTGTCGAAATAGGTCTATTAAATGAAATCAATGAGGCCTTTCTCTTGTAGTGGACAAACTTTCTTCTTTTTTCTCTTATCGTTTAATTCTATGTCGCCTTTGCCTCCTAATCATTCTTTTGTGTTAGCTATCGGAGATTCTCCCTCATTTTATCATCGCTAATCTATCCAAGCATTGCCGAATTCTACTGGCCCTCGACGAAAATTTTTATTAAAATGGACCCCCAACCCGTTAACAAATTGAGAAGGAATAGTGGGCCTCGATTAGATAAATCTGCTTTTCCTTATTCACGCTATTTATTCCGAGGTGTCAGAAGTTTACACAAGGATTCCAATCCAAGTTTGCTTTCGACACCTGGTGAATATGCTCACGTGTGTCAAGGTGCGAGAAAAAAAAACCCCTCTACCCCGGTGATTCGGAACATTGATTGCGACTCTAGGACACGGGGTATTCCGAATGGATTGTCAAATTGTGCGATAACTATTTCCTTTAATTTCCGTTCTTCTCCGGATAAAACGGACAGGTGCGCTTGAAAAATAGCTATTGATGTTAAGAGATACAAAAACTCAATGTTTCTGCTCCGTCTTCTACTTGTTTAAAACTGGAGTCAAACACACAAGTTTGGAATTTAAGGTGGTCAGGGCCACTTTTGATTATAAAATGCACTTCTAGTCAAAAGAATTTATCGAAGTATCATAGATTAATACCCGCTGTCACAGAAGTGATTGAGGAATTCAATAATGATTTATTTATTAGATAGGAAAAAATTAAAAAAGATATCGAGCAATAGTTTGACATATTGTCGTTTAACCCTATTTTATAGAAAACAATGATGCCTGTAAAACAATGATGCCTGTGAAAGAGAAAACGAATACATTAACTTTTAACATGAACTGGGTGTTTTAATATTCTATGAACACGAACTTGCATAAATGAATCGAAAGAGCATTGGATTACAAACACGACCACAGGGAGTAGTCATCAATTTTTAATTTTGTTCAGAAGAAAATTAATTATAATTATGCCTTTATAAAACATATCATTCCTCTCATTTAAAAACATATTAATTTTTTTTTAAGTGAACTTATGTATTTCTAATGTCAGGACTTTAAAAAAAGCCTTCATTTTCAGCTTACAATGGCCATATGGAAATTTTTTTTTTTATTTTCTTCAAAAGAAAACTGAATCGAACCTATGAAAACAAAAAAAAATCTTTTGATAAAACTTGCGTAATATATACACTCAAAAAAAAAAATAAATAAATAAATAAAAAAAAACGAATTAATGTTCTTCTATAACAGCATGTTTTTTTCAAATCATACATTTAAAAAGTAGTACATTTGTATATTTGTACACTTAAGGAATGTATACAAACTATGAAATTTCATCATTCAAAATCAAGTAAATGCGGTCAATTTCTTGTTTGACCAAACGATAAAAAAAAACATTCCTGAGCTATATTTGAATTTAATTAAAAAAATTTAAAATATACCAAAACCTCATGAGACCTCATTTTTAACAGACTGTCGTGAAATTCGATCTCCATTTAAACTAAAAAATGTTGATAGTTCGTTGACATAATGTTTACTTTTACTTTTAAAACCCGACACAAAGTTTGATCGTTAATGCAGGGCATAGTTGTCAGTCTGTCGCTTTTTTTAAAAGCAAAAAGCAGTATTGATATTTCTTTGCATAGTTTTTAATATAAATTATATTTCATGCAAAAGATTGCCCCGTATTAACTTAAAAAGAATATAAATCTACAGGTTAGGAAGAAAAAGATGAAAATTATTTGCATCGTTGATAAAAAAAAAAAAAAAAACATCATTCTCACATTTCACTAGGTATTTTAGATCTTACCTATATATTTTATTTTCACAAAAACCCATCCCTGATCATTTTCATGCTTATTTACATGGATATCAAAGAACCGATTTTGATACAGCGAATTGGTTTTGATTTTCGTTTTTCATTTTTTTTTGTTGGTGTTATTTTCGGAAATACTCATGACAGTTATAAGAAAAAGAGATCAAAATCTAGAATATACGCAAAGCAAAAATAATCGCAATAAAAGCCCCTGTAAATTAAATCGTATCCTCATTTTCCTTTCACTTCATGGAATTAAAAAAAAAAAAGAAATTCAAATATTTGATTATTTGAAATATTCTCAGCAAACACAGGAGTTTTTAAAGGTGTAAGTTATTGCAGGGTGGCGAGACCTACAGCGTTGGACCTGTAGTCGCTGGTCTATTTTGACGGAGTTTCGTTATAAAACGTCTAAACACTTGCTATTGACATTGAATAATAATATAAATATTGAACTTGCGAATCCTTTTATAGGGGGTATTTAATCTCCGGAATCTGTCCGTTCAACGTTTCCGGTTTCTGTGTTTGCATTGCCTCTTCTGTCTGTACAGTGAAAATTGAAAGCATTATATACAAAAGTGACAGTTTGAATTTAATAAGCTTTAAAAAATATCAGGTTTAATTCTTTTTGAATATGTTTAATTTGCAATTTCAAAATTATTTATAAAATGTTCTATTTACTTATTGTTAATTTTTTGTAAATATTTCGTAAAAAATGATCAGTGACCCAAGTCATTATATATGACTTGTACAATAATTTTGCCAATGTCTAAATTAAAAAAATAAGAATTTTAAATAGAAGTTTCATGTATGGTAGAAATTCAATTAAAGAATAAAACATAGGTTAATTTTTTTGTAATTTTTCCCCCATAGATTACTTTACATTAGAAAATACAAAAGGAAAAAAAAGGAAAATTATGTTCATACGTTTGCCCATAGTGAATTCCTTGATTAATCAAAACCAGTTTACAAGAAAAGCCCCACTATCATTTTAGACCACCGTTTGTTCTACAAATCGACAACCTTCAATTACCGACCAGGACCTAATAACGATTTAACCATTTGTCGTATTTGCCCTGCTGAGATATCGGGACCCCAAGGGAGTTTTCGTAAAGAACCAATATGTTCCGATGAGTACATTTCGTTCACATCGCGCGGTGAAATCGTGTGTCGTCTGCTGAACGCTGAAGCTCAATTGGACATTGACAATTAATTGAAAACTTTAACCGAGGCATAGTTTGTCTGGAAATTGATTGAAATCCTCATTAAAACACCAATGCCATGACTTGAGCTGAATTTAAATACTTCTACATTTGTCCACAAAAGAATGTTTTATCATTTAATTGGCGAGTGGAATGGAAAATAAATGTGATGAATAATCCTGAATTACTAGTATCTTCTAAACATTTAGTTGGAAAAAATGACAACTTCTTTAGGCATTTATAAATTGAAATACCCAGGGCCGAAGAACAGATGAAGCTGATAATGAATAAAAAGAATATATTGCTAATAACCTCAACAATTATCCGAGAACAAAACACGCACATATATTTATGCAATGAACATATTGTGCATATTGTCAACCTTATAATTATGTACACTGTTCGATTCACATAAAGATAAGATACATTTACTTTATACATTTTCCCCTTTCCTTTTCTTACATATTCACGCAATAGTAAATTTGTCTATAAGGAAAAAAAATGTATACAGTATTTTTTTTTCTTTTTTAGGACTAGGGGATGGTTGGGGTCAAAGGTCACCTCCAAGAACCTTGTTGGAAAAGGAACTTGGATCGCATCTTCTTCAGGTAATCTCTCTCTCTCTCTCTCTCTCTCTCTCTCTCTCTCTCAACTGATTAGCATAAATGTCAATGTATCATTATCTATGGCATAGTAGATCGAACTTCAGCCCTTGATTAGCATGCAAATGTTCAGTTTTCTATTCCTGAGCATGCTTTGCTTCTAGTTTAAGGAGTTTTGTTTTTGTATATATTCACTTTTCGGGTACCCTTACCCTAGATTTATATTATATTATGCAATGGAACGTTGAATTAACGGTACTTCCTTTAATTCTATTGAAATATGTTGGAAATTGATGCACATATGATTAGCATATGATAAGTTACAGGAGAAACTTATATAATTGTTGATTTTGTACCGAAGGTCTCGGCTAGTCAGATTTTCTAAACCCAATTACTCTAGATCTCTGATAAGAAATTTCATGTTATTTACTGAAATCTCGGACTGTTAAGCAAAGAGAACCCAAAGTAAAAACAATCATACAAAAATGAACTAAGATAGACAATATTCATTCACATTAATCCATTTTTGGGATGACAAACCACTTGTAGAAAATAGGTAGTATCAGTCTCGCGCAAATCTCGTGAGTTCGTGATTATGAATATATTTACTTCCTGTGTGACAATCCTGCGTCAGATACAGTGGTCTGTTGGCTGAAGATAAGATGCAGTTGTCAATTGTATTTTCTCTGCTTTAAACTGAAATTATCACAAATACAATATTTATAAATTAATTATAATATCACTTAATTTTTCATTTTATTATTTGAAATGGATATACATGTACATGTAGGTTTCTAAAAGAAAAATCACGAAGTAATATTATCTTTAAACATTCATTTATTTGATTTATGGCTTCATTCTTTATTAAATTTTATTTAAATATTGCTTTTTATTATTTTAAAAATTAAGTTATTGTCTTACATCATTATAGCAGTAATATTTCGAGCTCGTCGACTGTCTTAATTTTGAATTTCCTTGATGAAAGTTAATAAAACACTTAAAATGTTGAAAAATGTGCACTTTTAACAAGCTTTAAAACAACTTGTTATTTAAAAGGAATGATGCAGACATGCATATCAACGTCGTATATTTCATGTACATGTAAAATGTTCCAACATTGTAAGTTACAGAATTTTAAATTTCTTAAATTTAATGAAAATCTTCTACTGTATAACACAAAAATGCATATGAGATTTCTTATGTATAAACATGTAATTTATCATTTGTAAAAAAAAAAAAGGTAAAAAATAGTTTTAAAATAAAATCCTTTACAAAAGAAAGTAAAATATGAAAGGTTTGTTTTTAGATTTTGTTAAAGAAAGTTATAGCGTAAACTGATTTTATCCCCAGCAGTAGTTGCCCTGCGCGGATACAGTGGTGACAAGCGGCTCACATCGCTAATTATAATCCTGTCTGGCAGCCTTAGCTTCTCGCTATCGCAAAGGACCGAGAAAAAGCTACTTTTAATTACATCTTATCCTCGCCTTTTTGCAGAAAAACAGATAAAAGAACAAGAAAGTGAATTTACGTGTTAGCCAATTACTTCACTGATTGTTATTCACTGCGAGGCTGTTTTCCTGTCAAATGGAGACTTCCTATTTAATGCGAAATTGATTTTGTTAAGGATCCACATTCGATATAAAAAGACGTTAATGCGTTATCTTTTATGATAAAACGCTTATAATATGGCCTCGTTGGAACCAAACCAGAAGAAAGCAATTAAAACAGAAACGTGCGAGTCCGCTTATGCACTCGGGGTTATTTGAACAATTCTGGAGTGGTTATTGTAGCGCTAAGTGTCCAGCGAAGACAAAAAAAATCCGAGTGTGAATCAATGTCAAATAAAGAACCAAGTCGATGCTTGAAGACTTAATTTGTGACAAAAAACCTGAGAAAATATAGGCCTTTGACTCCTTGTTATTGAGTTTAATGATACGAAATATAAAGTCAATAGATTTTAAGGCGTGTATATTGCAATTTTATAAGCAGTTATGTTTTTTTCAGTTTGTGTTTATAAATCGATGCATTTTAAATATATAATTATTTTTTTTTTTCTAAATTCACATGTTGACAAAGACATCATGAACAAAAGACTTAATTATTTTCAAAAAATCAAAGTTTGGGTTATGAACATTAAAAAAACATGCAGAGTTATGATACTGCAAACTTGTACAATGTATGCACAAAAAACTTTATTTTTTTTTAAATCAAAGTTTGGGTTACTGCTCTTAATTAAGTCGTCTGTTAAATCAGAATAAAAAAATTAAAGCAATAACACAATTAAGTATAGCAAATTATTTTACAAGAAAATACGTGAATAGAAATAACACACATCAATTCAATTCGAAATCGAACTCAATACCATACAAAGATTACCAAGCATATTAATTTCTAGTATTTTATGCAATGCGTTTTGCCAGAAAAAAGTTTAAATTTCTTTTATTACAGACACTAGATGGCTTCATTTTCGTTGTTGCCCCAGACGGGAAGATCATGTACATATCCGAAACTGCATCCGTCCATTTGGGATTATCACAGGTAAATATCAAGTTCTGTATTATTGTTTAACTTTTAATTAAATAAATGACTTTTAGAAAGTTAATTAGGCATAATAATGCACGTACAAGAGTCCATTATACTAGATAATGATAATCATTTATTTTATTATTTTTTCAATTTAGTGTTATTATTAATATTAAATGCTATTATTTTTTTTAATGCATAATTTATATTTAATGCTACAGTGTATTATTTATAGTTTTGTAAAAATATTTCCATATAAATTAGAAAATTTCTGATCACCAATTCACGCGGAGTGTCCCCACTTAAAGTGAAACAACGAAATTAACTTTAAATAATTCGCAATTTATTATGATCAGAACAAAATATGAAATATACGATTTTTGAAGAACTTTAAACTAATCCACAAATTAAAGCACGTTAAATAATTCCCTTAAATCGAGGGCACTAGGGTCTGTGGGGGATAAAAGTGTCCCTTGTTCCTTGCCTCAACCATTTTACCTATAAAAATATATAAGTGTTATATAGAAAAGAAAAGCTGAGCACTATCCATTACATTTCTTAAAATGTACTTAAAAATTACACTTTGTCTTTCTTGTAGTTTTAAAGTTATTGCTTTGCATCTGATAGTGTTTTTATTTTTCACCGAGGCATGAAAATCATTCATTTCCCTATAACTGAATGCAATGGGGCTACTGAAATACAAACTTATTGGGATTTGCATACATTCTTAGTAGATGTATCTGCATCGATCATACTGAGTGAATTGAACATATTTTGTATTGTCTTAAAATTTTACAACTAAGATCGGGCAAACTTTTAGAAACTTAATATGCCTTTACCTTTAGAGATGAATTATATCAAACATGGTACAATGTAACATTATATATGACTATTTCAATGAATTTTTGCGAAGGGAAATATAATATTTCATTGCCATAGTCTCTTGGAGAGATTAATATTCGTATATGTAATTAGTGAATTTTAAGAGTGGGAAGAAAATTACATGTACGGCTTTAGATTTGTAAAATCAATGTGACTTGATAAGAAGAATGTACACGTTACCTGAATTATTAATATGTTCCTGAACATTTGTATACATCCTGCGAAATCTGCATGCCAAACCACGCCCCTCTTTGTATATTGCTTGCATTTGATGGTATTACAATTACAGATCGAGTTAACAGGAAGTAGTATATTTGAATACATACACCCCTCAGACCATGAAGAAATGACCGCTGTCCTAACTTATAATCCGACCTATTCAACTTCCGGTGTCGCAGGTAAACTCACCACTATACACACATTAACCAGAAGTCCTCTTATTTTCAGCTGTCCAAAGTTTCAGCACCGGATTACGTGCGCTCATCGTGTTAGAAAACAAAATGATGCTGTCCTTGTGCAAAATGAATCATAATTTTAAAAATAATCCCCCAAAATTTTCACTCTGTCAAACATATTTCGTTTTGCAAAAATAAAAATCGCATATTTTGTTTTCTGAAACGATGTTGCGCATGCTAGAAAAAGAGACTGAAGAGGAAGTCAAAAGGGTCTATGTAATATCGAGTTATTCCGGAGTTGTACAGAGTTTTATGTTCTTCTAGGTAGAACTGACAGGAAACAGTATTTATGAGTATGTACATCCGGCAGATCATGATGAAATGACTGCGGTGCTCAATTATCACTCCTCCCCTTATCCATGCTGTTATAAAGGTAAATCTCAAAGTCCAGCCACCGAAAGAAATCCGAAATTCAAAATAAATAAATAAATAAATAGATATAAAATGTTTGAAAGTTGTAGGCTATTTCTAACGATAGGTTGGACTTTCTTATGCTGCTTACAAACCTGTAAAAGGAAATGAAAAAAAAACTTGTTTTTAACCATTTTTGATGATAGAAAATTATATAATGCACTGACACGTCTCTATGTGAAATTACGGCTTATGGATGTTACATGTAGTTTAAATGTACAGAGAAAAATATGCTTGTCGCAATATTGGCTGATGAAGGTCCAAAATATCGTGAAAAAGATGTTATTTTATTTCCATTGATGCATATAAGGATTTCCAAATTACATAAGGAGATTTCAAAAAAAAAAAAAAAAAAAAATGATGTACCCTAGAAAATCAGATTGAAAACTCTTTTATGTATTGTTTCGCCACACAGCCTTAAAGCTTAAGGCACGATATGCAATCATGGTTGAATATTTTTTTAATGGTTGATTCCATCTCAACTTGTATGTTTCAAAAAGTTTAACAAGGAAAAAGAGATGTTTTCAACTGACTTTATACACGAATTGTTAAATTGTAATACAGAATGAAAGAATGGAATATCAATAGAAAATTTATTTAATATTAACTGGGGCAAAATTTCTACTTCTGAAAATTGAAAAAAATTTCCCTTTTTTAGAGATAATTTATTATTTTTAAGGTATAATTGAAAATAATTATCAATTAATTAATTTATGGAATTTAGGCATTTTCCCAAGTTTGAGTTGTAGTGATACCGAAAACAAAATTACATAATTATATACAGTGTACCTATAATAATTCTTTCCTTTCAGAGTTTGAAATAGAACGGTCCTTTTTCATTCGTATGAAGTGTGTACTTGCCAAAAGGAATGCGGGTCTTACTTCCGGTGGTTACAAGGTAAATCTATTTTTATGACCCCCCCCCCGATCTTTAGCTTGTCAGCATTGTCATAATAAGGACACATTACTTTTCATACTTTTGGCTACTTTCGTATAAGTTTTAGTTTTGATACATTCTTCTAACGACCTATATGTAAGTATGTTAATTGTAAAAAAAAAAGTTATTTACATGTATTTGAAATCGTTTTGCTTTTTAAATAAAATTCATAATTCAGATGAATGAATTTCTTTAAGGTTATTCACTGTGGAGGGTATTTGAAAATCAAACAATACAACATGGAGATGTCCCCTTACGAGGGATGTCAACAAAATGTGGGACTAGTCGCCATTGGCCATTCACTTCCGCCCAGTGCCATAACGGAAATGAAAATGTTCAATAACATGTTCATGTTCCGAGCAAGCCTCGATTTGAAACTCATTTTTCTAGATGCAAGGTAAATGTATAGAATATGATACTATTATGTATTACGGTTTTGGATTCAATAAATGAGATAGTAAACACCATAACTGTGATTTTACGTTACACATACCAAAATAGGCAAAACAAGGTTGGCAAGGCCGAGGAGAAAATACATGTATTTTATTTGAAAAAGATTTCCTATTTAATTTTTCCATCTTTAATTTTTTTTATTATATCGTTTAAAATATTGATCTGAACACTTAACTTTCCAATATTAAGTGTTTGTTGCACAGACCATCTGACATATGAAAAATGTTAGTTTTAAAAAAAGTTTCTGTATTTTTCCAGGGTGGCTCAGTTGACTGGGTATGAGCCCCAGGACCTGATAGAGAGGACCCTGTATCAGTACATTCATGCCTGTGATATCCTACATATGAGATTTGCTCATCACACACGTAAGTCTACAGAGAATACCGCATCCTAATATAATTTAAGAACCAAAAATAATAGACTTCATGTTTAGTGATTTTTAATTAATAATAACTCGTTTATGAGTAAGATTGACATTTTAAAAAATCTTGCAATTGGACTTAAAAAAATGAAAATAAAGTTCATTTATAAGTGGAAAAAACTAACCCTCCCTCAATATCTACCCATGACATACCAAGCGTTTGGTATTTTTGTTAAGCTATTTCATGTGCAGTTTGATAGGGCTCTTGCTTTGGTTGTTTGACTTCATGATTAATTTATTGCTTTTTTGTTGTTGTTTTTTTAAATTAGGCCTACATGTATAAATGAGATTTTTGATTTGAATTACAAATAAATGCAAACTTTCATTTTTGAACATATATTTATCTATGCATCAATTTTTAAGTTCATTGTGTCCAAATTGGGTTGTAATTTGTGTAAAAGTACCAAAGATCATAGGTTATTCATCATCAACAACCTTAAATTCTGATTGACAGTCTGTATATTGCTTGGTAATCAGAAAAGTCAACAACTGCAGAGCGAGAACTATTTTGACTAAGGATTTAAGCAAATACAAACAGCCATTTTGATTTTGTTTAATTTCCATAAATTCAATATCTTCAGTTATTATTATAAGAGTGGAAGCTTGTCCTTTCAAGGAGCACGTACAAGATCAATGGCCATATGTTAGTGTGCGATGACACCTGTCGGGCTCGGTATTCCGAGAAATCAATGCCCTTGGAATATCGACTCCGATATTGTTATTCTTGGATATTTCCTGCGTTGAAAAGAATTTCCGTAATTTTTTAACACTCACCAAAAAAAAAAAATCTACTTTATCATGCCAACGTATTTTTATACGAACACGATTGATTGCATGATTTTTTCCAAGTTCCTTGTCATCATAAACTTAAATAAACCCGTTTTTAATCAACCCCTTTATTTTAGTTTTGTTGAAAGGTCAAGTCACCACAAAGTATTATCGTTTCCTGGCCAAGGATGGTGGATGGGTCTGGATACAAAGTTATGCTACAATAGTCCACAACAGCAGATCATCTCGTCCACACTGCATTGTGAGCGTGAACTACGTTCTGAGGTATAAAGCAACAGAAAACATTTAACGGTTGATTCTCTATGTTATTAACAAGGGTATTCGATCCTTTGTTTTTCTTCACCTTACTGAAATATTTCATTCACTTTTTGCAGTGAGGTCCAAGCAAGAGGTCTTCAGATCCAGTTAGAACAAACTGTCCAAAAAGAGCTTTCGCCATTCTCCACCCTTCCTGGAAGATCTCCGGGAAAGTCAAGATCAACCAAGTCCAAACATCGACGATCGCCTTACTCACAGAATACAAGCAACCAGGAATTTCCTCCTGAATTTGAGTTGGTTCCTGAAATTGCTAACCCTGACTTTTGTCATATAATACAACCCAATCCACATTACGAGGATCCCATGGGGAAGTTTGAGCCTCTCTATGGGCATGCGTTTCCAGGAGTCTTCCATCCTGATTATTTTCCTCATCCATCCTATCATCCGCAAAATCAGTCCTTTGCAGACGATCGTCTTCATTGTAAATTTGAAGCAGAAAAGTATTACCCTTATAAGAATATGGATCATCTTTCATCATGTATGAATTCATCTAGTCCCAAGTTAACTCATTTAGATACGTCAGCGGATAGCAGGACAAATATTTCACCTCGATTTGAATACAGATCGGCTGGACCATGTTCCCGTAGCAGCAGTCGTGATGCTGTATCCGGGTATCCTTATAGCAACCAATCAGAATCTTCCACGTCAGAGGTTGACGTAGGCGTCGACGATATGGAGAAACGATCTATATCATCATCCTTTCAGCAAAATCTTGATACCGGTCAAAATGCAATCAAAGAGGAACAATCACCAAAAACTTTCACAGCAACAGACAATCTTCCGCATCCACAATCATGTGGCATTCAACAATCTGTTATCATGCGTCATAGACCGAACATCGTGCCCGACACATTAACTGATTCCCAAAAATCAATTCCCCCAAATCAAACCAAATACCCAGATCACGAAAATAGATCTGATCAACATTATCGTAATATACAGCAAAATGGACATACTGGTGGGATGGACCTTCATGCAGTTCAAGATAGAAATTTCAATGCTCAAGATATTTATTCGCATTGTTTACGTGCTTCCTGTGCTTATGACTCCTACACAAATCAGACGGATTACAATCAAACCCCGATCCCGACTCCTAAACATTTCTCCTCCGTGCCACAGCCGGGGTATGCTAGTGTTATTGTGGATACTCAGCAGTACCATTTAGCTAACGGTTATGTGCATTAGATATGTTATGCTGAAACATGAGTTTGTAAATGTTTTGCATATTTTCTTTCTCTCTCTCAAAAGCTTCCGTCACCGATGTGAGTAAATCAGTCTGAAAGTTGTGTAAACCTAGGAACGGATTGAATTGAGCTGATTTTTCAATCAAATATCAAGAGTTTGTTTAGAGACCAGGAAAATATGCGTGTAGTGAAAAATGTTTTAGAGCGCCCTACTTAATTACGGAAAAGAATTTGTACTTAGCTGGAATGGAATGTTTATGATTGTCAAAGCAGGTTCTGTTCCAATAACGTAACAACAAAGCAAAAAATTTTGAACTTAAAAATATCTCGTGATACTAATGAGAGAAAACAGTTAAGTATGCATTTATAAAAATCAGAGAATTCAATTTTCCGAAAAAGAAAATGGATGTAAACATGTATTATGTTAATCAGGATTTTTTGTATTTTTATATTTCTGTGTATCCTAGAATTTCGATCGAAGTAAATAAAAGATCAACTTTGGAAAAATTGACTTTGAGAAACAGGCTATTTTTATAACTCTTCAGTGAAAAGAGATTAAAATGCTCAGTATTGTTAATGAACATCTCGAGGGGAAATCAAATTATTGACTTATTCTTTCTTGGTCACTGGTTGTTTTTTTTATCAGTATGTAGGAAGAGTGATGTAGTTTCATTTAGTATTTGTAAACAGGGTTCGTTAAATTATATTAATGAGATGCCATAATAAAATGATTTGAAACCACTCTCTGATCTTGTGATATATATGGGAAATGAAATGTATGGAGATAACGAACAGTATTAAAGCCATAAAATTCATTAAACAATAGAAAATAGCAGCAGAGCGAACATGGACCTCCAAAACATCAGAGGTAGGATCAGGTGCCATGGAGGAGTGAGTATTCTCCGCCCACCGGTAACACCCGCCCTGTGCTCCTTTTCCGAAAAAAAAAAAATCGGAAAATCCGTCGTCAAATCAGAGAGTGAACGAATAGTGGCCTAACAACGGAACTATTACATGTACCATTGATGTGTTTAAGTAACAAGTTTGTCAATACATGGTGTATAAGTTCTGTTACAATGATGAAAGACTTCAAAATATCATGAAATAAAGTCATTGTTCGATAAGAATGTCCTATTTGTTAAGAAGCAAAATGTTTCAAATTTATTTTCTAGCAAATGATAACATGTTAAATCAAAAATTGAGTTGTTCACAATTTAAACATTGTGCTTACTCATTATGAAACAAACATTTATAAATTCGAAGGCCTTTAGATGGCTAAGAAAAAAAAAAATTGAGGTGTTAAAATTCACACACACACACACACATTTTTTTCAAGCGTTCCAAAGCCCTATGATCTGACCTTGGCTTAAAATATTAACAAGGAAATCCACATGAAATTTATTGACCAGCACTTACGGGTCTAAGTGGATGGGATAGCATTATTTATTCTTTCAAAAATGAATGCCCTATCAAAATTATGAAATTCAAAAATAATCAACTAGGTTAATTTTTTTAAATTTAGTTCTAACATGAAGGTTAAGGGGGTAAAAACATATAGCATGCTGGGAAAATCTTGTGACACGGGTCAAATGCGAATTCCAAATCTCTTGGCAATCAAAAGTTATGAGAAAAAATAGCATTTTTGAAAAAGTATGTAAAACTTCAAAATCTAGGTCACGAGGCATAAATCATAATATTTAAGGATAAATAACACAAACAAACTTTTTTCAGAAATCAGCATTATTTCTCATAGATTCACATTTAAATTGACAACCTGAATAATGTGTACCAAGTAGAGTGGGAGAATTTTATAAGATTTTGTCATAAAGTTAAAAAATTGTGCAAAATTTTGTATGGAATTATATAGAAGGCAAAATAAAATCTCAAATCTAAACATCAAGGAAAACCTGCGATTTCTTTTTATTTCAGGGATTTTTTATTTTTAGCAAAACAAATCAAAATCAGTCAAAAAAAATATATATCAACCCGCGCATCCATTTTTTGTTTGTGGTAAGTACCCTTAAGGCTACTGGAAGCAAGCTTTTTTTCTTGCATTGACCTTGACTTCAAGTTTTAAATTAATTTAAATAAAAAAAATGGTGATTACTTTTGATTCAATTTTACATACACTGTATAAACAGCAAGGGCACTCATCTCGCTACGGGTGTCGATTTATTTAAGGATTCTGAATGCCTCAAATTCTTGGCCAAATTATTCGAGTATAACCGGCAGGTTTGATTAAGTTAACCTTTATAATTGATGAAGGGGTTATATTCGAATAATTTGGTCAAAAATAAGAGTCATTTCTTATAACCTAATTTAAAATTATTAAACAAAGGTGGGTGCAAAATTTCATTTCTTTTTATGGGTTCAAATTTGCCACTCAATGATACATTTGTAGCAACGGAAGTGATGGAAAGCGAGGGGAGGTAAGAACTGATACTTAGGTCTACATGAAGCAGCCATGTTGTTTGTTTTCATGTGGTAAGATTCTCTACTGTGTGGAAAGGATTATATACTACCCTGTATAACAATTTTTGCATTGTTTTGAGGAAGGGTATTAATTTTTGCATATACAATCGGTTTATTTGAAAATGCCACAACCGATAGACCATAGGATATACTTGTTAATTTTTGACCCTCTAACTTCACCAATTATTTTTTTTATTTACCATTTTCCTCTTTCTCATTGCACCCCCCTTCCATTAGGATTTCCCCACACACACCATACAGGTTCCCTCAAAATTCTTGAAATATACACTCTTAAAAAAGTTTTACTTAGTAGTCATTTTTTACTTGAAATAACAAAGATAAATAAAAGATAATTACTAAGCATTTACTTAAAATTTAAAATCAATTACTGAAATATATGTCAATTACTAGATTCAAATGTTTTACTTGATTTTTGTATTTTAAAGAATTGTTTTACTTACACACTAAAAAGTTTTACTTAGTAATTTATATTTACTTAAATTTGCGTATATAGGTAATAACATTACTTGGTCTTTACTTACATTTTACCACTATTTACTATATTTAATGATTTAATGCCCCCGTAAACGAAGTTTCGGGGGTATATAATTTTTGTCGTGTCCGTCTGTCTGTCTAGCTGTCCCTATGTTTGTCTGTTTATCTGCAGAAACTTTAACCTTGCCCATAACTTTTGATTTAGTGGAGCTATGACTTTCATATTTCACACGTGTATTCCTTGTAACAGGACCTTTCTCTGAGTATCACCAAATTTTACCTTGACCTTAAAGTTTGACTCAATTATACACAAAAAATCCAAACTTATTCTTTATCCAAATCTTTTGAACAGTAAATACCAGGACATTTATACTTCACATATATATTTTTTGTTGAAAGCTAAGAACATTCATTGAATACCAACAACTATGAAATTTTGACCATGACCCTGGAGATTTCCATCCTTGTGAAAAAAAAACTTTAACCTTGGCCATAACTTTTGAACGGTAAGGAATAGTGTTTTCATACTTACATATATGTAATCATTTTGAGAAGACCATTCATAGGATACCAAGAACTTTGACCCTTTGACCTTGGAGTTTGACCCACTTTTAAAAAGCAAACCTTGACTGTATCTTTAAAAGGATTAGGGTTAGTGCATTTATACTTTACATAGTTCATCCTTGTGACAAGACCTTTCTTAGGGTACCACCAAATCTGTCCCTTTGTCCTTGACCTTGGACTTTGACCTACATTTCAAAATTGGTAACCTTGACCATAACTTCTGAAGGGTTGAGGCAAGTGTTTCCACATTTCACAAATGTATTTTTTGTGGCAAGACCTTTTAGTAGATACCAATAACCTTGACCTTTTGACCTTGGAGATATCAAGAAATTTAAATTTGCATATAAGAAAAGTTTAACCTTTGCTATGTTGCCATACAGGGGCATAGGTGTTTCACAAACACATCTTGTTTGAATTGTATTAATTAATTTACTTAAAACAAAAATTTATTTACTAAATCAAGGAGAATTCAGATCAGTATTTACTTAAATATGGTAGTCTAATCATTAATTGTCTGTGAGGAGGAGTTATCTTTCTTCTAAATATACCTTCATGTGAAAAAAAAGTCACACTAATAAAAATGCGAAATTAAGTACTTGAAATGTTTAACCATTTTTAAAATGGTCCTTAAAAAGATACAACTTATTCAATTTATAAGGCTTTCGAATTTGGAATCAAATGTTTTATTGTTATATATAATAAAATAATTACAAAGAAATTGGCAAAAGAAATAGAAAATATAATTGTTTCCATCATAAGTAGATTTCTTCTATTAAACTATTCAGAGGGCCCAATTAAGGAACTCAAATAAAGAAATCTGTGAGTAGTACTCACATGTCAGAGGTCGGTACCTTGCAGTGTTTCTAGTAAATAATGTCGATTTTAGTAAATATGATAAGTATTTCATTTACTTAGTATTCTTTTGAGTAATAATATTCTAGATTTTGATTAATTTCAGAATTACATTTACTTAGTAATAATTCATAAAATTTAGTAAATAGAAAGCATATGATCTCTAAATTAAGTAATAATAATTTAACAAAAATGAGTAGTTCATTACTAACTTAAAGTAATACAATTCCTATAATTTAAGTAATTCTATTGATACTTAGTAAATCATTTTATAAGTAAATGAATTCATCCTTATTACTTATCATGTTTACAATTACTAACTATGATAGTCATTTACTTGCTATTCTGACTAAATGGATTACTAATAATTACTAGTTTTTCTTAATCTAATATCTTATTTTAAAAACAACAAGTAAAACTTTTTTTAGAGTGTAACTTTTATTCGTCAACTTCAAATTCATTAATTTTGAACATTTGAATGGGAAATATCTATAGGATTTCAAGTACTGTATTAAAAATACATTGTTTTCTTTTCCGGACAGTTTCTGCACAGCTATACATCTAGGTGCTGATTTTATTTGAAGACAGCGGCAATACAGATGACCGAAATGAAAATACCATCGAATTTAATTTTTTTTTCAACACACATACTAGTAGACATGAATGAATTTTTATTTTTTCTATTGCACTATAATCAAATTGTTTTTAAATTATAAAGAAATAAACAGTGTACATCTATCAGAGTAAAACTGAAAATAATTGTGTATTTACTTTGAAAATAAGGGAAACTATTTTTATCAGTCTAATACAATATGCGTTTTGGAATATTTTACATATTACATTTATGATGCACAGATTTTGGCGATTTCCATTAGATTTATATTTTCCAAAACACATCTTTTGGAATGAATTAATGAAACAGAAAAATTCAGAAGGAAAAAAAGTTGAGAAAACACAGAGCACAAGCAATTCAGGCTAATAAAATGAAATTAAACAACAGCGGAATTCATATTGGTAGTTCAAGAGTGTTAACATAGCATGTGGATATATATAGATGTCCTCCGAAGTAGTCCTGACCCTTAGGGGTCAAATGTAGATTACCTCAAAATATTAGTTCTAGGTGGCACTCGCAAACGGAACTCTTCAGTGAAACGAGGCAACATTCCGCGGGGTCAAAAAGGTCAGGGTACGTCATCAGTTGAAGATTTCGGCGGAGCACAGGGATCAAGAAAGGCAAACAATATCCCGCTATTTCACACCTGCAAGAAGTCGCGAAAAAAGGCGCATAAAATTGAATCTGTGTGGACTCTTAATTGATTTATCGGTTTATAGGCGAAACACCTGGCGAATTGTTTTGAT